CTGTATTTCTACACAGAAAAGCAAAGTCATTATGAATAACTGATGAAAAGATGAACCTCACAGACCTGAAGTGATATTCATTCTCATAAACATGAAATGAGTTTTCCAAGTGAATCTTGCACAACTTTGAGAAAGTGAATGTATAAGACAAGTGTTATGAACACTTCACTGAGTGTAGACAAGTGAATAATCTTACATTATACTTCACATACTTCAGCTTATACTATCTTGTGTTGAATGAAGAGCTTTCAACATCTTTCTATTTACAGATCTTCATCCATGATCTTACATCTGAGTTGAGAGTGAAATGAAAATGCTTAATCTCACAGTCAGACACAGTGAAGGAAGCATACAACATTCTCATTGTACAGGAACAAGTAAGTCAATTGTGACAGAAAATACTGCAATTGAGTATGTCTCAGCAGAGAACAGATAATCAGACTTCTATAACATAAGTCACACACTCAGACACAATGAATCTAGATCTGAATGTCATTGCTAAAGCATTAAATTCTCTGAAAAAGAGATTCTCTGAGTGAAAATCTTGATGTTGTAAGCATCAAGCTTGCTTCAACTGCAGATGTCAAAATCATGATACAAAAGATTGCACTCAGCATGTGCAGTCAAGAGAAGCAAGAGAGTCAAAAAACTAGCAGAATCAGTGAGCTCAGAGGCACTCACTGATATTCTATGAAAAGCCTTCAAAGTGAAAGAGATGCCTGTGTTAGATGACTCTCTGAATCCTGTGAATGCAAAGAAGAAGCAGGCTCCTGAATGGGGTGCAGGCACGGATGATGAAGTGAACACTCACCTCAATGCCTTGAGGCCTGAAATGTTAATGTATAGAGGGCACTTGAGTAAGAATTGAGAGATGGCTGCAAAAGTGTTAGCAGACACAGAAGCTTCTACACAATATATTGATAATCATATGATCTGAAGATTGAAAGAGGTTCACTGAGTGAAGGATTTCTGACACATAAGATTATCTGATAATTGATATTTAATATCATCTGCAAGAGTAAGAGTTCCCTTGCACTTCAGAGAATGATCTTGCTATATTTGGGTGTGAGAGCTGCAGAATGTGGAATACAATCTTATTCTCAGACTCAATTGATTTCAAAGGTTCAATTCACAGATTCAATGATGTACATGTCATATGCAGTTGACTGATAGAAAGAAAATGATTCATACAATTCTATCAACTGATATGAGAAGAACATTTCACACCCCTGGTATAGAAGGGTTAAATCTGCTTACACATCAATAAGCAAAGAGAATGATTTGCAAGACCTCATCTGAAAGCATTCTGTATGTTATATGGGACCTGAAAGTGAAGGAAACTAAGATAAAGAATATGTGAGAGAACAAGCATATGAAGAAGCTTCTGAAGAAGCATAGAAAGATCTTCTGAACAGACCTTTCACTGAAATTGTCACTGAAATGAGGATTCATACATGAGATTGACATGGGGGATGCAAAACCAGTCAATCAGAACACATACTTCCTGTCACAAATGCATCTTGAAGAACAGAAGCATCAGATCACCAACCTTCTAGAACATAGTCTCATACAACCCTTATCAAGCGTGTGAGGCTTTCCAGTTCTATTCATGAAAAAGGCAGGTGAAGAGTGACAGATGTGTATTGATTATTAAGCACTTAACAAGCTTACAATCAAGAATGAATATTCACTGTCATGAATTCAATAACAGTTGAATATGATCAGAAACACCTGATATCTATTGAAGATTGATCTTCTCTCAGAATACTGGCAGATCTGTGTAGATGAACTGTCAGTCCTGTGAACCATGTTTAATACACAATAAGAGAAGTTTGAATTCCTAGCAATGTCATTCAGTCTGACAAATGCACTCATCATCTTTCAAATGATGATGAATACAATTCTTCATAAACAGAATGAAACCTCATGCCTTGTATACCTCAATGACATCCTAGTCTTTTCAAACTCATATGATGAATATCTGAAGCATTTCAATGAAGTGCTTACAACTCTGGCAGAGTATAAGCTCTATATCAAATCAACCAAGTGTGTGTTTGAAACAGAAGAGTTGAAGTTTGTGAGACATGTAGTGAGTGATGACTGTATACACCTCATTCTGAAGAAATTGAATGTCATAGCAAATTGACCGCGGCTGAGGAACATATACCATGTATGACAGTTCCTTGAGTTGGCCTCATATTACTGCAGGTTCATCAAGGATTTTGCATGAATATCTGCATCACTCTCAGATCTCTTAAGAGAAATGAATGTAAATCTGTGAAAGAAGAAGTTTCATTCAATCATCTGAAATGCTGCATGCAAAGAGGCTTTTCTCACACTGAGAGAATGTGTAACAACATCTTCAGTGCTTATTCAATCAGATTGTAATAAACCTTTCTACATCAAGATGAATGCATCTGAATGAGCTATCAGAGGCACTCTTCTACAGATGAGCAAGAACAGCAAGCTGCACCTGGTAGCATATGATGGTAGAAAACTATCGGGCGCCGAGCTCAATTACCCAGTGTATGAAAAGGAATTGCTAGTGATCAAGCACACGCTGGCATTGTGAGATAGATATATCAACAACAGGCATACAACAATGATAATCACAGATCATAAAAGCCTTGTCTATCTATAATCAACAACAAAACCTTTCAAATGCTTAGCATGTTGAATCTCAGAGTTTCAAGTGTACAATCTTCATATCAAATACTGAAAAGGATCAGATGCAGTGATACCTGACACAATCAGTTGCAGACCTGATTTCATGGATGAGGGTTCTGCAAACCAGGTACAAGAGATGTTCATGTTAAACACACTGAGGAAATGCAAGGAATCAGAATGAGTGAATATCATGATCTCTCACTTGAAGAATGACAAGATGTTGAATGACAAGTGTCTTATAAAAGTAGTAGAAGAGATACTTCTGAACTTCAAGCTGAGGAAATTGAAAAACAATATTGTGCTTTATCACAATCTAGAATACATAGAAGCTCTCTATCTAAAACCTTCATTTCAACACAACTTGATGGCTCACATGCATAAAGAATTCAGTCACTTAGAAAGCTCTGAACTCATGAGCATACTCAAACCAAGAGTATACTGGCCAAGCATGGCTGAGGACATTCAGATGTATGCTCACAAGTGCCTGAATTGCTAGGTCACAAAAGAATCTAAAAAAGGGTTAGAATGTGAAGAAGTATAACATCAGGTGGAGTGTACAATACAATCATTTGAATGATGAGAGGTGAACCTCATAGACATATTACTGTGAACATTAAATGAAAATTGATGAATAATCACTGCTATTGACTACACTACTGGCTGGCCAGTCATGAAAGCAGTTTCAGAGGTGACAGAGAAGGTGATGATGAAGTTTCTACATGATGAGATCTATATCAACTATGAAATACTGCATGAGATTCTAACTGATAACAGTGTGAACCTTGTAGAAGGAGTGATGAGGCATTTCATGAGCCAGTTATAGACAAGACATTGTAGAACAACATTATATCACCTGCAGATGAATGAAAAGGTGGAATGCTTGAATGAAATCTTAGGCAACATGCTGATGAAATATCTAGTGAGCAAGCCTACAAGATTATGAAATGAATATCTCAGACAGGCGCTATTAGTCACACAAATTCAGCAGTATGCAGTCATCAAGTGTTCACTATTCTATCTGTTGTATGAATTGCATCCACGCATTTCAGAGAATGCTTCAGAAAAGATGAGGAAGAAAACAGCAGTTACAGACACAGCAGTCATGAACACAACAGTCACAGACATGAAATCAAGATTGAAAGAGATCAGCCATGCATGTACAAAAGCTAACAAGTTACTTCTGAACTGAGCAATTCAATCAAAAAGAATATGAGACTCACTTGTTAAGAAATTGAGTCTCAAGATGAGAATGTGAGTTCTTGTATGCAATGAGAGTTCTGAGAAGTTTCAATCTAGGTGGTTTGAGCCATATAAAATACTCAAATCACATTCTCTGAGAACATACACATTGAAAGAATCAGAGGGATGAGTCTTACATAACTTAATCAATAATTCATGACTTATGAAAGTAAAGATTCAAGATCTGAGCAGATTATGATCATCTACAGCACTATTATCAGTGTTGAAAAAGAAGAGACTTATAATTGAAAAGCCTCACAAAGTAAGAGAAATCATAGACACTTATGAATCAGATAATCTCACTTATTCTGATCTTTTCATGATTACAAGGAAAGAATGGAAAGAAATGAAGAAATCAGGTGAATATCACACTTCAATAAGTGATGAGACTGTAGCTGATTGTATAATAATGCACTGCAGACAGTGAGCACAATGCAGCAAAGAGCAGTCTCAAAGTAGCAGACTTGCATGTGAGTCAGGTCACAGAAAAAAAAGAGATTCAGAGTTGAATTTGACTGTTTACACCAGTTCAATCACAGAGATCACAGAGAATGAACTATCTGAAACATCTGTGAATATGTGAGACCAAGTCATCTCAACCCCTGAGAATGCTCAGAGATCAGATGAGGTCAGTTTTGATGAATTGTTCACTGTAGTGGTCTAAGCAAGTGAAGAGAGACAGTATAATGCATAAGACAGAATTATAAAAAGTTAGAAGCTGCTGAACCTAGTCACTGAATGCTGTATTATATAGAGGTTGTGTAAGAGTAGTGACTAGCAGATAGAGAAAAAGTGTAAGAAAAGAGATAATGAATTGATCACTAACTGTAAGAGTCAGCTGCAAAAGACAAATGTTATCATACACATCTCATTCATTTTTATATGTCATATATTTAATCTATTTCCAATGTCACATCACCTGAAAAACATCAAAAATAAAGAAAATCTCAAAACTCAAGGTCTGTAAGGAATTTGAGGGCTGTAAGCTGCTCTTACAACAATACTGTGCATGTCTCTGATTCCTCTACTGCTCTGTGTATAACATTAATGTCATTTATTGCAAGATTGGCTGGAATGCCAATATAGGAATGCACATGTGTATGTGTAGAGAAATTGAAGAAGAGCGCAGGACCTGCAGGACCAGGAGCCAGGGCAGAGGGAGTGAAGGTAGAAGAAACAGAAGGAGGAGGAGATGCAGGACTGAATGAACAACAGCGGGAGCCACCCAGAGCTGAATGCTTATGACTCAGTGTGCGCACAACCTTTTCCACAGAGAAGGGAGAGAAAGTGATGAGAGGAGCTTGAAGATGAGAGGGAGTAGTCTCAGCAGTGTTGTCATCTTTGATCAGAATGGCCTCTGACACTGGAGCAACTAAGAACCATTATTAGTGTATGAAAATCACAAAATCAGAGATGAGAACAGTTACTGAATGAACACCTGCTGGCCTTAGAGTTGTATGTGCAATTACAACATGCATGAGGCTTCTCAGGAAGAGAGAGAGAGACATGAGGGAATGCAGAAAGCAGAACACAGCATGTGAATGACTCATTCTCACAACAACATCTCAGACAAGGCATATGAGTCTCACGCCTGTGGGTGTAAAAGAGTATAACATCTGTGTTTCTGTTTCTGAAAACATGGATATCTTTTGCCTGCACTATGAAGTCAGATAACAGATGTCAGAGAATAGGCTGATATGAATCTATCATTCTGAAGAAATTCATCAGAGTGAATATCTCTGTGATGTTGAACTTTACAGTTATAAAAAGTTCCTTGATGTCTGTGAACATCACAACTTCATGCACAGTAAAACCTATAATAATTTCTTCTAAGAACAGAAAAATCAGCATCAGATCAAAAAGATGAAAAGAAAAAGACTTATGATCTCAACACTGTTGAGAAGAGAAGTGATTCTCTGATATGAATAAATGATTGTCTCATCATGAATATTTAAAATGAATGTAATAATCAGTGTCTGTAATCAAGCTTCAGATAGTTGTGTTGTATGCAGTCTTTATACAATAAATTATTCTGAGAGTTGATAAGAAGGGTGAGAGTGTACACACTGAAAGATGTGGTTCATTAAGCCTATGCAACATCTTCTTGAAATGAGAAGAGCTGGTAACAAAAGCAGAGACAGTAAAACCAGAAGTAGCAGAAGTGGGGATTGTGGGAACAGAGGTAGCGGGAGCGGGAGAACCAGACACAGAGACAGGTGTAGAAGATTGAGGGAGAGTGGTGAAGAAAGGAACAGAGGGGGCAGAAGAGGATGCAGGAGACCTGGTCACACATGATACAGATAATTTCTTTATTATCACATTCTTCAAGTTCTTGATCAATGATTCAACATTGAGTTCACTATCATCAGCAGACACAGATCTGTCAACATGTGAAGATTCTATATAAATAAAAACAAACATATCAGCATCTGCATTCATACAAATCATGTCAGAAAACACAATCAGGAACCCGCTGAGAGAGGAATGATTGAGAGTGTATAAGAAGGTGAAGAGAGTGTATAAGAAGGTGAAGAAGATGTGTCATTCATAGTAGTATGTTCTGACAATCATTAGAAGATAAACAAGTCCTGATCACATTTCACAATGCATTATACTTACTGCTAACAAACTGCCTGATATGAGCACTACAATGACACTTGTTGTGAGAACAGGAGGCCATTGTCAGGAATGTGTACAATGTGATAGATAAACAGATGAAAAGAGTTGAACAGGAGAAGGGGCAGGAATCTTGAATGAGATAGTGATATTCAATGATGATAATGATGAAGAAGATGGTTGAAGAATGAGAAAAGTTAGTGAATAAGTGATGTAATATAGTGAAAGTTTCTTTGTGAGGGTGTATGCAGGACACTAGCTGAATCAGAGATAGGTCACACAATCATGAAACACTAGTGGCGAGCTAATCCACATGAAGCTAGAGTGTACAATATGGTCACATGAGTGTGACTGAATCTGGTGAGGAAGGATGTGGTTCGGAAGAACGTACGACTGTCGGATAATAACGCGGCCGCTTCCGAACTACTAGCGTACGCGTATGAATGTAAAGGGGCCCTAGCGGCCGCTAATTAATTTAGCGTACGAGATTCAATATATAAGAAGCCGGCGTACGCCTGTAATCGTACGCTGGCTTAAGCAACCTTTGAATCACACAGTTCTGAGTGACTTCTGCTGTCATTTGTCTGATTCTGTGTCTTCTTCTTCTTCTATTTCTTTCATCTCTGCTCTCTCTACTCTGACTTCTGATTCTGTGAGTTCTGTGCTCTTCTTCAATTTTTCTATGTGTATGTGTACATATTTCTATATTGACATTTCAGTCAATCTTGTGATAAATGACATTAATATTATACACAGAGTAGTAGAGAAATCAGAGACATATATAGTGTTATTATAAGAGCAGCTTACAGCTCTTGAATCTCTTGCAGATCTTGAGTTTTGAGATTTCCTTTATTTTTGATGTTTTTCAGATGATGTGGCATTGAAAATAGATTAAACATATAATGTATGAAAATAAATGAAGTATGTATAATAACATTTGTCTTTTACAGCTGACTCTTACAGTTGATAATTAATTCATTATCTCTTTTCTTTTCTTACACTTTTTCTTTATCTGCTAGTCACTACTCTTACACAATCTCTATATAATACAGTGTTCAGTGACTAGATTCAGTAACTTTCATCTTTTGTAATTCTTTCTCATACATTATACTGTCTCTCTTCACTCACTCAGATCACTACAGTGAACAGCTCATTGAAACTAATCTCATCTGATCTCTGAGCATTCTCAGAAATTGAGATGACTTGATCTCACATGTCTGTGAATGTTTCAGATAGTTTATTCTCTGTGATCTCTGCAATTGAACTGATGTAAACAGTTAAATTCAACTCTGAATTTCTTTTTCTTCTACAATCTGACTTATATACAAGTCTGCTGCTTTGAGACTGCTCTTTACTGCATTGCATCTGCTATCTGCAGCATATTATCATACAATCAGCTACAGTCTTATTACTTATTAAAGTGTGACATTCATCTGATTTCTTCATTACTTCTTATTCTTTTCTTATAATTGTGAAAAGATTGAAATAAGTGAGATCATCTGATTTGTAAGTGTCTATGATTTCTCTTACTTTGTGAGACTTTTCAATTGTAAGTCTCTTCTTTTTCAACACTGATAATAGTGCTGTGAATAATTATAATTCACTCAGGTCTTACATCTTTGCTTTCATAAGTTATAAATTATTGATTAAGTTGTATAAGACTCATCTCTCTGATTCTTTCAATACATATGTTCTCAGAGAATGTGATTTAAGTATTTTATATGATTCAAATCATCTAGATTGAAACTTCTCAGAACTCTTGTTATATATAAGAACTCATGTTTCTATCTTGAGACTCAATTTCTTAATAAGTGAGTCTCATATTCTTTTCAATTGAATTGCTCAGTTCAGAAGTAACTTGTTAGCTTTTGCATGTGTGTGACTGATCTCTTTCAATCTTGATTTCACATCTGCAACTGTTGTATCTGCAACTGCTACTGCTGTATCTGTAACTGCTGTTTCTGCTGTGTCTGCAACTGCTGTTTCTGCTGCATTTGCAACTGCTCTCTCTCTCACCTTTTCTGAAGCATTCTCCGGGATGCGCGGATGCAATTCATACAACAGGTAGAATGATAAACACTTGAAGACTGCATGCTGTTGAATTCATGTGATCAATAGCACCTGCTCGAGATATTCATCTCATAGTCTTATAGACTTGCTCACTAGATATTTTATCAGTATGTTGCTCAAGATTTCATTCAAGTGTTTCATCTTTTCATTCATTTGTGAATGATATGACATTGTTCTACAATGTCTTGTCTGTAACTGGCTCATGAAATGCCTCATCACTTCTTCTATGAGATTCACATCATTATCAGTTAGAATCTCGCGCGGTATTTCATAGTTGACATAGATCTCATCATGTAGAAACTTCATTATCATCTTCTCTATCATCTCTGAAACTGCTTTCACAACTGACCAGTCAGTAGCATAATCAATAGCAGTGATTATTCATCAATTTTCATTTGATATTCACAGTAATATGTCTATGAGATTCACTCTTCATCATTTAAACAGTTGTATTATACACTTTATCTGATGTTGTACTTTCTCACATTCTAATCCTTTCTTAGATTCTTTCAGAATCTGATAATTCAGACACTCATGAGTGTACATCTGAATGTTCTCAGCTATGCTTGGCCAGTATACTCTTGATTTAAGTATACTCATGAGTTCAGAGCTTTCTAAGTGACTGAATTCCTTATGCATGTGAGTCATCAAGTCATGTTAAAATGAAGATTCTATATAGAGAGCTTCTCTGTATTCTAGATCATAGTAAAGCATAACATCATTTTCATTTTTCAATTTCCTCAGCTTGAAGTTCAGAAGCATCTCTTCTACTACTCTTGTAAGACACTTGTCATTCAACATCTTATCATTCTTTAAGTGAGAGATCATGATATTCATTCATTCTGATTTCTTGCATTCTCTCAGCACATTTAACATCAACATTTCTTGTACCTGATTTGCAGAACTCTCACTCATGAAATCAGGTCTGTGACTGATTGCATCAGGTATTATTACATTCAATCTCTTTCAGTATTTAATATGAAGATTGTATACTTAGAACTCTGAGATTCAACATGCTAAGTATTTGAAAGGTTTTATTATCAATTATAGATAGATAAGACTTTCATGATTCATGATCATCATTGTCATATGCCTGTTATTAATATATCTATCTCACAATGCTAGTATGTGCTTAATCACTAGCAATTCCTTTTCATGTACTGAGTAATTGAGCTCAGTGTCTGATAGTTTTCTATCATTGTATGTCATCAGATGCAGCTTGCTGTTCTTACTCATCTGTAGAAGAGCATCTCTGATAGCTTATTTAAATATGTTTATCTTGATGTAGAAAGGTTTATCATAATCTGATTGAATAAGCACTGAGAATGTTATTACATATTTTCTCAGTATGAGAAAAGCCTTTTCACATGCAATATTTCAGATAATTGAATAAAACTTCTTCTTTCACAGATTTGCATTCATTTCTCTTAAGAGATCTGAGAGTGGTGCAGATATTCATGTGAAATTCTTGATAAATCTGTGATAATATGAGATTAACTCAAGAATCTGTTATATATGATGTATGTTTCTCAACTGTGATTAATTTACTATGACATTCAATTTCTCTGAGATGAAGTGTATACAGTTATCACTCACTACATGTTCTATGAACTTCAACTCTTTCATTTCAAACACACACTTGATTGATTTGATATAGAGCTTATACTCTGTCAGAGTTGTAAGCACTTTATTGAGATGCTTCAGATGTTCATTGTATGAGTTTGAAAAGACTAGAATGTCATTGAGATATACAAGGCATGAGATTTCATTCTGTTTATGAAGAATTGTATTCATCATTATTTAGAAGATGATGAATGCATTTATCAGACTGAATAACATTGCTACAAATTTGAACTTCTCTTATTGTGTATTAAACACAGTTTGTGAGACTGATAGTTCATCTATATGAATCTGTCAGTATTCTGAGAGAAGATCAATCTTTAATAGATATCAGATGTTTCTGACTGTATTCAACTGTTGTTGAATTCATGACAGTGAATATTCATTCTTGATCATAAGCTTGTTAAGTGCTCAATAATTAATATATATTCATTACTTCTCATCTGTCTTTTTCACAAATAGAACTGAAAAGCCTCACATGCTTGATGAGAGTTGTATGAAATCACATTCTAGAAGATCTATGATCTGATACTTCTGTTCTTTGAGATGTATTTATGACAGAGAGTACACATTCTGATTGACTGATTTTATATTCTCTGTGTCAATCTCATGTACAAATTCTCATTCTGACAGTAATTTCAGTGAAAGATCTGTTCAGAAGATCTTCTCATACTTCTTCAGAAGCTTCTTCATATGCTTATTCTTCTGTATATCTTTTATCTTGGTTTTCTCTGCTTCTGAGTCCTGTATGACATACAGAATGCTTTCAGATGAGATCTTGTAAATTATTCTCTTTACTTGTTAATATGTAAGCAGATTTAATTCTTCTATATCAGAGATGTGAAATGTCCTTGTTATATCAGTTGATAGAATTGTATGAATCATTTTCTTTCTATCAGTCAACTGTATATAGCATGTATGTCATTGAATCTGCAGATTGAATCTTTGAAATCAATCAAGTTTAAGAATAAGATTGTATTTCATATTCTGCAGCTCTCACACTCAAATATAGCAAGATCATTCTTCAAAGTACAAGAGAACTCTTACTCTTGCAGATGATATCAAATATCAGTTATTAGATAATCTTATATAT